GACCCACAGACCCCTCCCTGACCCACAGACCCCTCCCTCACCCACAGACCCCTCCCTGACCCACAGACCCCTCCCCGACAAGAACAGCAGGACAGCAAAAGCTTCGGATACACGCGCAGGGCGCATCCACCTCGCCAGTGTGGATGTTATAAAACTTCACGTTTAAAGTCCACATTTGTCGCGCGTGCGCGCGGGGGGTTGAGTGTGTGTGTGTGTGTGTGCGCGCAGGGCGGGGGTGTCTGCTGCAGATAACAGAGCAGGCAGGAGGGGGAGAGGACGAGGAGAAGAGCAGTGGACTTACTTCTAATTTTATCTGACATTCAATTTAATTTTTATTGTTTTTATCATCCTGCAGGCTCTGTGACAAAATTTAATTTGAAGCTGAGTTTTTTTTTATAAAAATTGTTAGATTACTCTAAAGCAAAATGAGGGAAAATCTGTGTCAATTACAGACATTCTGTTCACGTGAGCAGCTGTCAGTCAGCACCTGTCAACCTCCAGACTCACGACGGAGCGTGTCTGAACCAATCACTGATCAGCTGACTGATTTAAATACATCTTAACATTCATGAGGTACTTTACATTGACTGTTTGTGGTTGAGTTTGGGCGTGTAGAGGGTAGAACCTGAGGCGGGACCTCGTGCGCAAACTCTGACATGCAGCTGTGATTTATAAAGGAAAGATGCACAGAAACGTGCGTACGCACAGTTTTATAAATCTGAATTTTTTTGGCGTACACCATTTCTGCCTTTTGGCCGTACGTTCACTTTTAGTATGGTTTCCACGCAATCCTTTATAAATGAGACCCCAGATCTTCACTGGAACATAACCTGCCTTGGGTATGAGTTCTGGTTTGCTAACCGGTGAATTTACTCAGAAAATTACTTTGTGCAGCGTTTGACAAGTTGTTTTTTTCACCTGCCCTGTCGGGCAAATGACACCAAATATTATCTGCCCCACATGAAACATTAACTGAGTTGTAGCAGAATGAGTTCATGCCTCCATGGCAGAATTAGAAACAAACAACAACAAACAAACAATTATGGAACTTACACCGAGAATGACAAAAAAGTTCAGAACACCTACATCAGGGCTATTCAACTAAAAGTTAATGAAGGCCAACAGCACAGGGGCCAAACATCCAGCAATTAAAATCATTATGTTAATAAACCACATATTTCTTCCTTTGAAATACAGGTAGTTTATTTTGCTGCATTTAATCGTAAATACAACATACAGAAACCTATGTAATAAATGTAGTAATAATAAAACAATATTAAAAACAAAGACAACATTATGCATCTTATTTAACACAAATATTATTTTTGACATCTCTGACTTGTCAAAATTTAAATAGTTTTATCTTCAACTGCTTGTAGTTTTAACTGTCTTGGATGTTCATAGGAATGGTTTTTACCAGCTTCTAGCCAAGATTCTAAAATTTCTGTAGATACCAAAGGGTTTAAGAGATTAATTAACCAATTGACGAGCCAAAGTTTGGTCACTCACAAGCCAGATGTGGCCCACAGGCCGTGAGTTGAATAGTCCTGACCTACTTGGTCTCAAATTCAAAATGTGACAATTTGTTGAGTCATTCGTTGGTTTCATCGACACCAGGTTGATCAGTAGACCCTCGCCCACGAGGCAGAAAGAACCGAGTCAAACACCACATCAGGAGTTCTCGTGTCTGTCCTGGCAGAATAAAAGGAAACCTGCACCGTGTTTACCAAAGAGTTTTACTGTTGCAGCTGACAGTTGTACATTCATTGGAATTTGCTGGTTGCATGTTCACACACTGCACTTGTGCTTAATGTATATGACGTTTGAAACAATTTGTACACAAAGTCAGAGAGCAGAACCTCGACACGTCACGTTAACAAACACACTGTATTGATTTCAACAGTTGAATCTGTTGTACATTAGGAAAGTCAGTGGTTTTAAAGTAGACAGTGTTGGCTCAGAATGTTTACTCATATTCTGTTCAGCAGTGTTCATACATTAACGACAGAAACATCCAAAAAGTCACAAAGAACAAGAAGGCAGCTGATGAACGTCCTAATCATTTCTGTACATCATAAAGTAATAACTGTTACTGCAGCGGGAAGTGGCTCTCATCTGAAAACGAACATAACCATCCTGTGTTATGTTTGTGCTTTGGTTTTATACATTTCCATTCATGTTTTGTTAAAAGTAACAATAAACCCATTAAGATCAATATAAAAAGTCAAATGTTTGTCAGAAAACAAAAAGTCATTAAAGTTTCAGTCCTGCCAGAAAAACAAGCCGAACTGCCTCAGAGTTTCAGACAGCTTTATGTTCTTTGCTCAGGGAGAATCAGCTGCTCATCCCGGTCTCCTCTTCAATGGTTTTACATTTAAAACCCAACAAAAGCACAGGATAGTTGTACTTAATGAGTCTGCAAGATGCTGATTAAAGTGTTCATGACTAATATGCCATCACCTTGAATCTTAAATTTAATACCCTGGTCATGTGAAACCCTGTTCTTGTCCTGCAGAACTGTCCATCTACAAAAATGCTTGTTAAATCATGACTTCCTTTGGAAGTTGGATGATGAAGACGTGCTGGAGAGTTTCAACTAGCACAGATCTGAAACTAGAAAACTGGGACCAGCCAACCTAAAGTGTACAAGTATAGTTTCCCCACTCAACACTGAAGCATTTACGTAGCAGCTTAACACACCAAACTAGATTTATACACAGCACACAAACAGCACTAGACCAAATCTCTTGGAGATCTAACCTGTAAGAGTGACTCACAACACGACATTTGTGACACGCTCTGATTCTAGTTTAGTTTAGAGTTTGACAAAGGAGTGGCTGAAGTCAAATATGTGCAGGAGCTCACAGTGCAATACAACAGTTTGATTCCTATTTGCTTTAAAGGGATCCCCGATTAGTTGTAACATTAGACTTTATTTGATAAACATATTTTAACTGTAAAATAAAGACTGTAAAAATACTGTAGGTTGTTTAGTTTTGTAATTTTTTAAAAATATATTTTAACACAGAGCCATTTTATTTACACATAAAGCATTCTGGGTAAATGATGACGTGGATAGGTCCTCGGTGTGAGCGAGCTATATCCACCCTGAAGGTTAATCTTGGACAATATCTGATGATAGACTCTTTTAAATGAAACCAGAGAGCGTTGACAGAGAGGAGAAGAAGGTAGAAATGACTCAGCCTGTAACTGAAAATATGGATGGAGGACAACAGAGCTGCTTCATGGAAGAGGAACCTCAGCTTAACCTGTTAACCTTTGCGCTAGCGCCGACGCTATATTGCCTTAAAGGGAATTAACTCAGCGCTAGCGCGACAAACTAACAAGCTAAACTGAGGTCCTCCATCCACATTTTCAGTTACAGACTGAGTCATTTTTGTGTTCCCCTCTCTGTCATGTGGATGGAGGACCTCAGTGCCAAGAGGAGAATGTGTAGTGCTGAGCTAATACATATATATGGTGATAGCGTCGGGGCTAATGCTAAAGCTAACAGGCTAAGCTGAAGTTCTTCTTCCATGAAGCAGCTCTGTTGTCCTCCATCTATATTTTCAGTTACAAGCTGAGTCATTTCTACCTTCTCCTCTCTGTCAACGCTCTCTGGTTTCATTTAAAAGAGTCGATCATCAGATATTGTCCAAGATTAACCTTCAGGGTGGATATAGCTCGCTAGCAGCCTCACACCGATGACCTAGTTGATGTCATCAGTTACCCAGAATGCTTTGTGTGTAAATAAAATGGCCCCGTCCGTGTAATAAATTTTTAAACTTTTAGTTTAAAAATTATAAAAACTAAACAGTCTACAGTGTTTTTACTGTCTTTATTTTACAGTTAAAACAAATGTTTATCAAATAAAGTTTAATGTTACAACTAATCATGGATCCCTTTAATGAAAGAACTCAACACTCAACCACCTCAGAATGATCCAGTGAGGTTTTTTAAAGGGCCGGGATCGTCCTAAAACCAAGTGGCATTGAGTTTGTGAGACTAAAGTGTCTGTGACTGTCTGGACTATTTAGACTTCAAGATAGTGCTAAAGCAACAGCAATATAAACTCTGCTTCACATAGATGCAACATTAGGGCATTTTCTCTAGTGTACATCTAGAACGTTTGGAAGCAGAACTAGTTCAACACGTCTATCATAGCTTATCCACCTTACAGCACACTCAGAATGTCTTTAACTTAGTTTTATAGGTATTAAAGATGTTCAAAGTCAGTCCTCAGGGCCTGGTGTCCTGCATGTTGTACGTGTTGTCCAGGCTCAACACAGCCGAACCAAAGTAGGGCTTCATTAGTAGGCCTCTGCAGACCACAGTGACATAACATGCAGGACACCAGCCCTCAAGGACCAGAGTTGGACCCGCCTGTTTTCAGCTAAAATTTGGTTTGGTAGCCTATCATCTCCAACAGGTTTCAACAACAAATCAGTGAGGAAAAGCTTTGCTTGAAATGTTGACATTAATTGTTGGCTAGGTTGGTTTGTTTGAAAGTCAAATATCTCACAAGGAAATGGTTTGATTTTGGTGAAACTCAATTGGACCATTAGCCAACACAAACAAAGCTATAACCCAGTTGACCTTACAGGTACTGAGCTGTGTGGTAGCAGCAGAAAGTCACCTCCAGCTCATACTCTGATCATTTCCTTTACAAGGTTTAATTATGATTAGAACTCCATCATTTCTCATCGTAACGTGAGCAGGAAAGGCTGCAGGTTTCTATCAAGGAGTGCTAGATCTTCTGTTTTAATTCCTTTTTCAATTGTATCTGAACTTTAGTAAGAGAACTTGTGAAAGTCTGGCTGCAGAATGATTCCCAAATTAAAGCCTTGTTCCAATAGTGTTGGTAAGCCTTAAATATTTGTGCTTAATTCATGTTATTATTGTTCTATTGTTATGTTACTGAGAAGCTTTTTTATCATCTTTGTCTTTGAAACCGCACTGCTGCTGTCTGCAGATACCTGATCCAGTTTCAGCAGAGTAAAAACATCTGATTCAACGCCCCTCTTCCTTTTAACGCTTCATTCAGTCGCCTTTTTTATGACCTCAATTAAAGCGTTACTTTCTTGACACAAGAAACATCCATTTTTTCCATGTTTCTTAAAGTTGATCCTGATTTACAAATGTTTACGTTAAAATATGAGGGGCTTTTTGGAACTGTCTTTTAAAGTTGAAATGATGTTTTTGGTTCCTGATTTAAAAAAAAAGAAATCAAACCAACAGTTTCTAATAAGTTCAAATGTAGAAAAACCTGCTGGTGAGAGACAGACGCAAAAACCAAGCAGAACATTTTGGGCAACGTACTCGCACTTTGATTTTATCATTCCAGTTAACGTGGTTCCAAAAAAAGATGACATCATTTCAATAAACAAACCAAAAAAAAGTCAAAAACCTTCATGTATGCTGACAATGTCAACCATCTTTAATCCGTGAGAACAATTGTGTTCTGACACGACTTTGATTTCTGTTAGTCTGATAGTTTTACGATGCAACATTTTTTCCCCTTTTTTTTTTTTTACATCAGCCCAGTTTCCTGTTTGGAAATAATTACTTTGTAGGTTAAGACAGCTCACAACCAGCTGCAGTACTAAAAAATGTTCATTTAATCCATCTGGAACAAAGTGTGAGCAAAAGCCAGCTACATTCAGCTTTGTGTCGTTACAAACAGTGAACATTAAAAGTGAAATGTAAACAGATTTTGTGCTTCTCACCGGCACCATGAAGTCTACAGAGTCAGCAACAACACTGGTGACTGTGTGTACACATTAAGACTTGTGCTCTGGGATGTGCATACGTCATACAAAACTCTAGGCCAGAGTGTAGTCGAACTGGCCCTTCTCAAGACCATCGAGACCGTCTGCCCAGGTGGAGGTAGGCATGCTCCGGTACGGGTCCAGCAGGATCCGGAAGCATCGAACGATGAGGATGAGAAGGAAAACAAACAGGAGGATGACCAGGGCAAAAGTGGTCTTCTGCTCCAGGGACATGACGGCGATGCCAGGGTCAGAGGAGGACGAGGACGAGGACAGGGAGGCTGAGGAGAGGGCCACAAAGTGCCCCCCGGAAGAGTACAGCAGAGAGGAGAGAGCCGAGGTGAAGGGTTCTCCCTCCATTTTCCAGAACCGCAGGAATGCAGCAGGGGTGGGACGGCGATCATGCAGGCTCCAGAGGAGAAGGTGCAGTGGCATCCTCGTCACAGAAACCAGACCCGGGGCCCGACGTTGGACGGCTTTGTCTGAAAAGAGACATTAAACCAAAACACAGTGAGTTCCAAAAGGCTTTTTCTCTCCTGAGCTTTTAAACCTAGAGCAATAAAACAAAAACACTGCGGACTCTTTGAACCTATTATGCTTTTATTCTGAAAAATACTAACCTGTTTCCATAACCAGGGTTCATGCCGGGTCTTAAAAAGTGTAAGTTCTAAAATTTGAAAATCAAAATTTTAGGTCTAAAAAGTCTTAAAAACGCCCAGATTTTCACCCAAGGTCTTAAATTTAATTTTGTCAAGTCTTAATTTTTTCTACTTTTTATCATTCCTGAGAACCGTTGGCTGCATAAATAAATAAAGTTAAGAGTCGTAATCAGAGGTTGATACGATCTGTCTTCATGAAGTGCTAAGTCATGACTGGTCATGATTAAACTACAAATCCCATGATAACTGCAGGCAAAAATGTCACAGTTTACTTCCATGTTTTTGACCTCTTCGCTGCTATAACCCCCACATACAGTGGCTTATTTAGCTGCTCAAAAAACAGAAGTTCAGTCATGTCCACTGCTTGTTGTTTAAACATGGGAAATTGTGTTAACTTTGAACATATTTAATACCTATAAAACTAATTTTGACTTGACTTGATATCAGTGATTTTTTTCACTTGGTTGAAAGCAGTTCACAGTAGTCAGACATGACCGTTTCATTCAAATAATTCAGTGTTCTTGTATTAAAATTAAATATTCTTTAATGACTAAATTGATAACAATAAAAGGTTTCTATGTTAAAATTTCTGGGACCATTTGAATGTTTCTGTTAATGCGTCGATTTGGTCTTAAATGTCATTCCTAATGGTCTTTATAAGGTCTTTAAAAGGTCTTAAATTTAACTTACTGAAACCTGCATGAGCCCTGATAACAAACAGGGGCACCACTGGGGTGAGGAAGGGGCATTGGCCACCCCTAAAAATAATTGGTGCACCCCCACACCACTTCCCCACCATAGACAGACAGATTTACCCTCTTAGGAAATGCACACCAATTTTTGCTCGGTGTGAACTTTCTGTTTTCCCAGCTTTTCAAAATTCAAACATAGTTTTCTAAAAATTTGATTAAAATAAAGAAATATTATCTAATGGTTGACTTAAAGATATATTTGAATCAAAAATAAAACTGAAAATCTAGTTCCCCCCTGAATAAGGAAGGTCTAAAATCAACATCCTCAACATTAGGATGCAGAGTCTCAGGAGGTTATATTACTTAATTTATAAATCTAAATTTAGGAATGGACAAGCTTCAGTAAGTTGAGTAGTGACAGAGCTTTTCTCAATAAGTAACATCAACAGTAAATAATACTATAATAGTTCAAGGACCTGGAGATGGAAGTCCAATACATGTGGAACACAAACACTTGAGTTGGACCCATTGTGATTGGAGCTTTGGAGCAATGAAAAAAGCATTTGAACAACAACTGGACAAAGTCCCATGTAAAGTCATGGTTCGACGAGTGGGCTGAACACCAGACAGTGATTAAACCTGACGGACCTGGTGAATGAATCAGAAATAAATGAAGAAATGCCGAGAAAAAAAAGATGAACGAATGAATGAATTACTTCCTCGCACTGTGACTGCTGGATATGGGCACCAGTGACCCTGAAAGGAAGTAACGAGTATAGATAATAGATGGGAAAATTAATTAAATGATTTTTATTGATCCCATGAAGGGAAATTACAGAATATAAATAATAGTAATAAACTAAAGCAGATTCAGAAGATGATTCCCTGAATCCTAAATTATTTGTCAAATAGCCTAAATGTGACAACAGGTCGGCATGGTGGCTCAGTTGGTGGAGCCACCAATTTTTTAGCCACCAGTGTTTACATTTACATTTAGATTAACACTAACTAAAATTAGGATCCAACATTTAAACACAATATTTAACATTTAAATAGAGTAAAAATGAAAGAACAGTAAACTAAATAACAATGAAATGCTAGTGGAAAATATTCTACTAAGATTTAACACTCAGAAAGTAAGATAAATAATAAAAATGTGAAGTTTTAATGTTTTATTTTACTCTTGAACTCATAAACATCGTTTAAATATATTTTCCTCAGCCATACAGTTGTGGTCAAAAGTTTACATACACTTGTAAAAAAACATAATGTTATGGCTGTCTTGAGTTTTCAATAAGTTCTACA